ACCGGGACGCCTCTCACCTCCCACACAATGGGCTTAGCCTGTTGCTGGTTCTTCACCAGCAGCTCCACTTCCATCGGCTCCATGTTCGGGGTCAATTGCACCCCAGGCACGCGCAATCGCCCGTTAACGATGCGCCTGGTCGCTGTCAACGCTGCTAAACCTCCTTTTGGCACAAGGATGGAGAGTTCCATCACAATGTGCCGTTCCCTTCCCATCGGATAAAGCAACCGTTTTTGAATGCGAGGGCCTCCCCAACGGTTGAACTCCTGGTTGCTGCGGAAGATTTGGCCAATTGTTGCCAGAATTTGAAGTCCTAATGGACCGTATATTTGCGCGATGATGTCGCCCGTATCTGAGCCCGCTGGCCACCGGACTGTCACCACGATCGGTTCCAGTTCTAGTGTGGCTCTGTAGAAAGCCAAGCCTTCATTTGTTCCGTAAAAGCCACTGACGGCCTTTATCTTTTTGGTCGGTATGGATTGCGGTCTCGCGGCTGAGGTCGGCTGGCGGCCATTTTGAACATTGCCGCGGCTAACAGCCACTGCTGGTCGCCTCTGCGACATTTTCAGGCTAATTAGATAACCATAACTACGCTCAAACAATTGAGGTCGCTGTCGGTGGCCACGGCCGCGGTTGGCCGACGGTCATAGTAGCAGCTTAGTCAAGCTTGGTCTCATCCATACATATGTATGTATGTATGTATGTATGTATGTATGTATACGAGTCCGCACCCCGTATATGGTGGTCCCTCGATGGCTTTGGACCAGGGTTAGACAGGACCTTCCTAAAATGGTCGGGTTGCCGGTTTTCCCCTTCCCATGCCCGTCGGCCCCGCCCGATAGCGTTTTTGCATATCTTTCAATTTCTGTCGGGTGCCCCGATAGCCCATCCCAAAACCTGTCGGGTGACGCAAGAACGAAATTTCGCTGTGTGCCGCTTGAAATTACATTTATTCGTATTTTATATGCGCAGTTTCCAGTTCTCAGTTTGCAGTTCACAGTTCTGATATGCACGAACAAACACACACACAGCAACACATGCACGCCTGCACGTCTGCCTGTGAGCATCACAACCCGAGCTCTTCAAGGAGACCCTTAGACACCGTAGGACTGGAGAGGAACATCTCCTGAACTGCGCGGATTCTTCTGAGCCGGACCGTCTTGCGCGTCAACACTGCGCTTCTTCATGCTGATTGATTTCACTGAATGAAGCCAACGATCGAGCAGGTTCAGCTTGGGAAAGCTGTTTTGGTAAAGCCCACAGACTTACAGGACGAGGCAGCAAATGTTCGAAAGGGCAATGTAAAGCTGCATATGGTCTTTGTATTAATTGTCAATAAGGCCGAGATAAGGTAGTGTGCCCTTCACTTATGTATCCAAGCATGGATCCCTGTACAGCAGAGTCAAAGGATAAAGAATGCTACCACTACATTACATATTTCCATCCAGTTATATTTTTATGAATGCCATTATGTATCGCTGTAGCTGTCCGTCGCCGAAGGGCCCACCGACGACCCACGGCACCCGATCGAGCGGTCCTAGCGCCCCTAACCCTGTCGGGTCCCCCGACGGGAGCCCTCCGGGCCCCGACGGGGGCTCCCGATGGCCGTTTGGCATTTTCCCCCTTTTTCGTCGGGTCCGCCCGAAAGCATTTTCAAAGCCTGTCGGGATTTTCAGGACAAGTGCCATTCCTGTCGGGACCCGATCGGGCTGTCTCACCCTGCTTTGGACTCCTCTCCAACAGTTCTGACGTAATAGCGGATAGTGGACCACTCCGCCAATCCGCCAGATCTAGAAGCGTCTGATTCTCCACCTCACTGCGCCTGCTGGTCGATATCCGCGGTTTCGCTTGTTTCGAAACTTAACAGACCGGGGCCCTCCCCTCAACACCCCTCAACACCCCTCAACACCCCTCAACACCCCTCAACACCCCTCAACACCCCGCCTCACATAATCCCCCCCCGGGCCCAGGTGTGGGAGGAGGGCGTGTCCAGTGAACCAGCTGCGCTGCGGCTGTACGGCAAGGAGATCTGTACGACGTTATGCGAGATGCTGAGCGGGCAGCAATGGGGTCGTAAGACGGCGGCGGCGGCGGCGACAACTAAACTTACGGAGGTGTGACGTACGGACAGACAGACACACGCGTACGATACTTTAGGCAAGGGGGACTTATGGGCCGATGGCGACTGGCCAGGGGAGAGAATGCGATGTAAGATACATGAACGCATCCCCCCCACCTCCTCCCTCCCACCTCATCCCCCGAAACCCGCTCTCCCGCAGATTGCACCTGACGCCCTGGGAGAACACGGCAGGTGTGTATGTGTGTATGTGTGTATGTGTGTATGTGTGTATGTGTGTATGTGTGTATGTGTGTATGTGTGTATGTGTGTATGTGTGTATGTGTGTATGTGTGTATGTGTGTATGTGTGTATGTGTGTATGTGTGTATGTGTGTATGTGTGTATGTGTGTATGTGTGTATGTGTGTATGTGTGTATGTGTGTATGTGTGTATGTGTCTGTCTGTCTGTGCAACTAGGAGCAGTTTGCAACTAAGGAGCAGCAGCAGAACCCCCTTCCACTTCCCCTCGCCCTCCCCCTCCCCATCCTCATCCCCCCCCCCTCTTACGCATCATCCACGGCATCTCCTCTCAGACGCCTGGCTGCTGCTCTGCTTTCCGAGCTGTCCGTGGGGCGGCTGTGGGAGGGCAAGGAGGCAGTGCTGGCGGCACTAGCGGCGCTGGTTGCTGCCGACCCGCGGGTCATGGAAGCGGCTCCGGGTTACGCGGCTGTAGTGGACGCAATGATGGCCGCGCTGGCTCGCAAGAAAGTGGGTGCCGTACTGGCGGGTGTGTGGGGGGAGGGGGTGGGGGGGGGTGCCTGGGGGTCGGGGGTCGGGGGGGGAATAAAGGAAAGAAACGCCGGGAAGGGTTGGAAGGGTGGATGGAGGTGGGGGCTGCAGGGGCGAATTTTGTCGTACGGCTGTATCACCGCTGTTCTGTCGGGAAGCGCAGCGGGCATTCCAGAAAATTTTGCTCGCTTACATGCTGGAACATGTACTACTACATCACATCATTTGCATTCTTGCTAGCAAGTCGGCTTTTAGGGTCTCGACGTGGCGCTAAAGAATGAGTAGCAGCAGCGGCAGCAGCAGCTCCGAAACCCCCTTTCCTCCTGGAAGGGAAGGTTGCGAGAACATCCCCCTGGTGGCCGGTGAGAACGAGGACGTCCCTTCGTACCCCTCGTGAACCCGGGGGGGGGGAGGGGAGGGGGGGCCTGACAGCACCCGGCAAATCGTCAGGCGGGGAGAAAAACATGCAGCTCGGTACCCTTTGAAGTGCAGCCGGGGGCGACTGTGCTTTCTGTGGGAGGTCTTGATGTGGATGGGGTCTTAATGCTGTGTCGGCGTTTCGTCGCGTTGTCATCGAACTAACCGCAGATATGCTGGTGCGGGAAAACGGGCATATGTTCTGTGATGAACGGATGAATGAATGATTTTCGAATGCTGTGATGCTGCGACGCCATTGCAGACGTCGTACCGTACGGCGGCCCTTGCGGCGCTGGAGGTTGTGCTGCGGTCCCTGCCAGGAAGTCAGTACGACAGGGTGGCGCCGCCGCTGCTGGCGGCTGTTGCCAGGCACTGCGAGGCGGAGGGTGCCGCTGCTGCCGCCGCTGGGGGGGCTGTCGCCACGTCAGCGTCGTCACAGTCGACGGCGCTGCAACCAGCAGCCGCCGCCGCCGCTGGCGCCGCCGCCGCCACCGGTGGCGACGAGGATGCCGAGCGGCCGCTTCCGCTGTCTGAGTGCCTCTCGTGCCTTGCCGCGGCCTTTGCGCGCGTCGGCGGTAGCGGCGGAGGCGGTGGCGCCGCTGCCGTCGGCGGGTCCGAAGAAACGGCCATGTCCGCAGCTGCATCGGAGGTTTCGGAGCGCGGCGGGGTTCTTGCCGCTGCTCTACGCGGCGTGTTGGCGGCTCAGCTGCCCTGGCCACCCAAGCTGGCGGCTGCTGCCGCGGTACAAGTTCTGGCCCAGGTAGGGGGGAAGGGGGTAGCGGGTGGGGGGTCGTGAGAGGGGGGCCTGGGGAGACTTGGCCGCTGTGTCTGTACTCTGAATGACACACATCCACATACATACATACCGGTGTACTTCTATGGCCACACGAAATACTGTATTGAGCGCAGACGCCTGTGTCTAGCCTACCTACCTACCTACCTAACTACCTAACTACCTAATTCCACTTCACATCTACCCAACAGCTACTTTACAGTTACTCAACCGTTAACTGTTTCAAGGTGGGTTGTACGTTGTAACGCTCTCCTACGGCCCTCCCAGGTCACAACCTGTGACCCGCAACTCCACACACCCCACCCCAATTCCCCACCAACTGACCACTCCACATCCCCCTATTTCACCTTCCCCCCGCCGCCGCCGCCGCCGCCGCCGCCTCGACTGGTTTCGGGGCAACAGCGGTGTGTGTTCAGCGGAGTCCCAGCCCCCACTGCTGCCGCCCTGCTGGGCCCTCTGGGCCCCGCACTGCTGCAGTCGGCACTGGACCACAAGGTAGACATGTGTGTATGCGGGCGTGTGTTTGGGGGGGGGGAAGAGGGGGGAGAGGGGGGAGTAGGGTTTCCAATCCCCGAGCCCCAAGTGGTGCGGGGACGTTGAAACTGTCCGCCAGTAAGCTTCGTGAGAGTGGAGGCTGAAGGTAGCGCGACCTGTTAACTTGGGGTCACTCGGACCGCGTTAAGTAGGAGGGTCATGCGGGTGCGAAAGAAGCGCGAGTCGATTCGGTAGCCCCCAGCAGCCCCAACAGCCCCAACAGGACGTGGTTCCGCTTCCACGTCCACCGCTACCCCCAGCAGCAGCTAAACTCCCGCGGCGGCGTCACTGCGGCGTTAAAAGCGACCTTGCTGCGGGCCTCGCTGCGCCTACCGTGTGCTAGTGCCCCCTGCTAGGGCAGCTGCCCGGCCCGGCCCCTCCGCTCCGGCCACTTCTGGTACACTCTTGCACTGGCAGCAGCTTCACTCGTTCGTGGTTCGTCTTCCCCCTCCTCTCCGGCCGTATCGGGGGACGTGGGTCCTCTGATACGACCCCATGCGCGTTGGTGTCAAGTGGCACTTGCAGTTCTCATTCAGCCGCATGTCCGCCTACGTAGATTTCAGTCCTGCTGTTCACTCACTCACTCACTCCCAGCAGCCAGCCCCCCCCCAATCGGTACCCCCGTAATAACGTGTGTTTTAAATGTATTCCCACGCGGCGGACGCAGGTTCAGCAGTTTCGGCTAGCGGCAATCGGCGCCCTCGGGGCATTGGTGCAGGCAGCCGCCGGCAGTGCAGCCGCACCGCAATCGTCGCCATCGTCCGCGACCCCCACCTCCACAGCTGGCTGGAACGAAACCGACCGCCGGGAGCTGCTACCGGGTTTGGTTTCGGGGCTGCAGCAGCTGGCGGATGTGGACCGGTCGGCGGCTGTGGTGGCAGCGGCGCTGGGAGTGAAGGCCGCCCTGGAGCCGCTGCTGGCAGCAGGGCTAACGGCGGCGGCGGCGTCACCGCCGCCGCCGCCGTCAGAGCAGTCCGCCATGGATACCGCGCTGTGACGAGCCGTCGTGAACTCGCCATGGCGTCAGCTGTGCGTGCGTATGTGTGTACAGTGTTGAGTGTGTTCTATGTATTTGCGTCTGTGAGTGAAAGACAGTGACTTCCTTGCTAGGTGCGGAAGGGAGATAATGAGTGCTGAGGCGGTATGTGCTCTCAACTTGCGGCTGTTGTGTATCAGTGCATATGTTGGGGTGATCTGAGCGGCGATGAGCCGCGTGCAGTGCGCGTGTGTTGCCGAAGCGTACTGAAGCGTGGTGTGTATGTGCCTTGGACATGAATCACCACGAGCCCCAGCCAGTCGGCCGGATGATAGCGAGGATGTTCCGGATGGTGGTTGAGTTGGTTAAACTTGTGGATTCCATGCGAAGCGCCCGTGTATGTGAATGCGCCGCCACACTGTCTATTGCCGCTCAAAGGTGGGTGGTGTATCGTTCATTCCTGATGATGCTCGGATGAGGGGGAAAGGCCAACTGTGCTGCGGCAGAGACGTGCGGTGTGTGTGTGTGTGTGTATGTGTGTGTGTGTGTGTCTGTGTGTGTGTGTGTGTGTCTGTGTGTGTGTAAAACGGGGTGTGCGACACTGTCTGTGTGTGGGGCCCCCGGGGAGAGTGTGTGGACAGCTCTTGTCATATCGCAGGCAAATAAAAACGTCGTCGGCAATAAGGTTGCCGGCTGGGTGTTGTGTTGTATGTAAGCTGCTGGGCCCCTATACATCTGCAAGAGCTGCCGATTCTTCGCTGTAATGCCGCCACATATGCCTGCCAGTATGTGTCCTGGCTGGCAGCCACTGGCGGAGTGTTCGTGATGTAAAAAGTAGCCGTGGCGTAACCTACATGCATAAAGTTTCACAAAGTATGAACGCAACTCCAGGCGCGCAAAACAACTGTGCGCAGACAACCCTGAACCACACCATTCTGAATAGCCGGATAGCCGGATACCAACCGGATAATATATATCGCAACTAAACAGAAGAACTTAAATGTCCATCGGCGCTTTTCACTGCGCACTGAAATGCGGCAAAGCAGCTGCACGCACATACGTGACCTAGACGACGAAACCTAGGTGGACACCAACAGTACCTCCACCAAAACCTCCTTCCCGAGGGGGGCCCCCCCGGGCCACACAATCCTTGGCTGCGACGGCGGTAGTTTTAGCCGCCCAAGATGTGAGAAAAGACACCAGCACTCAAAACCGCTCACAAATGGCGACTGACGAGTTGTTTCCGCCCACGACAACAACCTGCTTATACGCATGTGCTCAAATTGGAGTGTAATACTTCCAATCTTGCAAAATACCTCCCTCTCTTTATCTTCCTCTCTGCCTCTCTATTTAAACCTGCGTCCAACAATCCAAGCAGGGCAGAGCCACGGATGCGTCCTGCGCTACCTTCGTGTGCTCCCACCGCTGTGGAAAAGAAAAACGGCAGAGCAGCATGGCCCTTCCCAGCCCATCCCCACCGCGCAACCTCTCACATGATACGGGACAGCTGTGTTGTCCTTCTGTACCATTAAAATAGCTACACCGACACACCTTTTAGGGCAAACGCGAGAGCTGCATTGGCACCGCTCGAAATAATGTCATTAATCAAAGACTTGCTTTACTTGGCGCACAGTTAGCTACTGGAAGGGGAAGAACACTGCGGACCACTCAGGCGCCGCAGCGAAGGGGGTGAGGCCTCTTCTCCTGTGGGGCCTCCACTGCCACCCAAACATATGTGCGCGCCAGACTACCCCACCGCGGTCCCCAGGCTCCCCTTTTGGACACGCACACATACACATACACACATACACACGCGCGCGCTCGCACACACCGGACGCGGAAACGGAGTTCAGACATGGCCCGAATTAAACAGCCGCAGTAGCAGCAGTGGCAGCAGCAGCTCTGGTCCGAAGCACACAGCGGAAATGCAGCAACAGCCTAGTTTCAAAGTATACGACACATTACGACAGCTGTACGACGATAGCGGTACTGCAATGCAAAGGCCCAGGGGGTTTCTCTGACGCTGTGGTACATCTGCCACCACCCGGGCACCGCGCACGCACACACCAGGCGGGGCGTCCCCCACTCCCTCACCTCCCGCTACACCACGGAGGGTCCCCATCCGACCTTTGCTCATCCCCCGTCAACACGCATTTTATTCCAACAAACACGAAAGGCAAGTACACCCGCCGCCGTGCAGGGCATGTAAATATAACTTTTAAATTGCAGGGCAACATCTAAGCAACATACATACCAAAAATGTATACTCCTCTCTCTCTCTCCTAGAACAAGAGGAATATGATGTCAGACAATCCCAGGCTTTTCAGGGCTGCTTACATGCCCTGCACCTTCACAAACTTAAAAGACGGCGGCGCTGCTGCGGAGGCGGTCATTGCTCTTCTTATGAGCGGAACGCAGGAACACTACTTCGATACGCGTCTTCTCAAAAGCGATGCTCCAATTGTTGACGTGGCACGGATGCGACCCCACGCCAGCGCCAGCACCAGCGATAGCTAAAGCTAAAGCGCTGGGGGGACCTATGGGCTATGGGTGGGCTACAGCCCTTCAGAAAACTGGCGACTGGCGACAGCCCGCCGCCGACCCGGGGCTACCCGCGACCGTAACGGGTGAGTGCTTCACAGCATTGCTCTGTGCTACTTTGCAAAATGAGGTGACGGGGGCCCATCCGTGCCTTCCCTCACCACCAAACAAGGCGAATACTTAGGCGACGTCCACTTATCCGGCTTCGCCTCGTTCAACCCCCCACCGCACCCCACCCCACCCCACCCCACTCCACCCCACTCCACTCCACAGCTGAAGCTAGGGAAAAGATTTTGCCCAAAAAGGAATCTGACGGTGCATGGGGCCATCAGGTGCGCACCACCAGCGGACTTAAGGAAACTGACAGCCACAGCATGCCGCCGTACATGCCGCCGTACAGCATATTCCACTATCTGGACAGCTGCGGACTGGGAGGGTACCATGACACCCCTCAACAGACATACATAGCTGACGAGCCACAACACACTTCATAGCAAAACCCACCGACAACCAGGTAGTGACACTCACATACATACAAACGCATACATACCACATTCCACCACGTAACCACACTAAAAACAATTTACCGTCCATGGGCCCCCCTCCGGCCTTTACGGACACCCCCACACGTGCATGCGGAACTTGTACCATATCACTGCCTTTCTCCAATACCTTGGGGCAATACTGGCCTTACCAAAAGACCTACACCCACACAGTATGTCATATGCCGTAAAAGCGAGGCTGCCCCGTCGCACGCTAGAAGTGCGATCGTGAAACAAAGCGTGATGGCGATGATTGGGAGAAGGGGAATGACGGGAAGGCGCCAAGTCGATAACGCCAATCCACAGTCCCATGGGAGCTCCTCACCCTCTCCCTCGTCCACCTTTAGTGGCAATGGTTTCTTCCATTACACAAGCAAGCACACATCCATCCATCTATCCATACATACATAACGCGCGAACATTGCCCCCGGGAGATCCCGGGATCGATACCCGTTACGGTCAAAAATCCTTCCGATGGTGGAAGGCATTGCGCCCCTAGTTGATGGACGGTGGTGACCTGGGATAAAGTCAGCCTGCGAGCCGACCAGGAATGGAGTTGGGCCGATGTCGACCCGGCAGATTCCGCTGGATGCTGGTGGTGAGTGCGGAACCTGAGCGATCCACTGAGAAGTTGACTAGGGTGACTGGATGAGGGTGACCCGAAATACCGGGGAAGGCAGGGTTTCGCAGGGTAGCTGCCACGGGCGAAGGTATACCCCCCTGTTTCACACATCATACACACACGCACAAACCGCAGGCACGGAGAACAACATAACAACTCGCCGGAGACAGACACTCCTATCTTTCACCGGTATCATACCCGACACAACAAACAAGTTCCCAGCGCCCTATAGGTAGCAATGATAGGGGTACTGCAACAAGGTTGGCAGTAGCAGGAGATGTAGTGTGCTAAACTATTACGCAGCCTCGGAATGAAGAAACAAGAGTTCCCTTTTCCCCCCGGTCGCACGTCCTGGCTTCGAACCCGCCGGCCCAGCACAGCAGCACCCCGAAACCCTCTTCACGCAAACCACTAATTAGCTCAATTAACGTTACCGATCCTTTCTTTCAACACACGTTTAACACACGCCGAAAACTGCTGCTGCATTGCTCAAAAGGAGATCAGAGCCCCAGTACCCCTACCTGCTGCAATATCATCACTAAAAAAAGGCTCTTCTCACCCGAACCACATAACCCAATAACCGCCAACCAACCAAGCAAGTACCCAAATAACCTCGTCCATGGCTCATGTCGTTCCATTCCTGTCGTGACGTCCCATTGCATCTTCGTCTCCCAGCCCCTCTGCTACCGCCCGACTGCTGCCGGTCCATCCTACAAGAGCCACAAGCCTGTAGCCTTAAGCCTACTCTGGCCAGAATTACACACCGTCCTTAGCCGCTAGCCCCCTTCCCCCTCCTCCTTAGCCGCTCCTCATTCCCACTTGGTGTCCTTTAGCGGCTGTGCCGCAGGCCCGTCACCACTTCCGCCGACGACGCCACCACTCATCCATTCGTCACTACCTTCCTCACGCTGCCTAGCTTTTCCCTTGCTCCCTCCCGCTCCCGACCCCGCGCCCACCTCCGCTGCTGCTGGTGCTCCGGGCTGCTGCTGCCGCCCCTGTCGCTGCAGCCGCCTGTATGCCGCGCGCAGATGCGCCTGGCAGGCCGCGGTGACCAGCACGAATAAAATCCCCATGCCTAGGGCCCGGAGCAGCCGCCGTATGGGGGAGAGGTACGCCACCATAACCCACCCCTCACCTCGCATCAGTGCCAGACCCGGGCTGTGAAGGCAGGACATGGTGGGGTGTGTGGCTAGGGGGGAGGGGGAGGCGGGGGAGAGGCAGTGGGATGCGGCGGCGGTGGCGGCCGCTAGCTCGCTGTCCTCCAGAGCTGCGAGCGCCAGTCGCCGCCACAAGGTCATGTAGACGGGTACCTTGACCAGGGCGACCACCACCGCGTCGCGGACGGAAAGCTTGGGGGAGGAGAGGGGCACAAGCGGGAAAGGGAAAAGTGACAAGGGGAGAGGGCGTCTCGAAGGATGCAGGAAACGAACGAAGGAGCGACAAGCGATACGGGCGGGGTCCCACTTATGATCTTAAGATTTGTCCTTATATTGTTTTAATGGATTCTTTCAATTCAATTCATCAATTCTTTTATCAGAAGAGTCATAAGAGGTTACTTTTATTTTTGTTCCAGACAACTGAATGTTGCCCGCGGCAAGGGTGCGCACACACATACACACACAGGCAGGGAGGGAGGCGAGGAAGCTCCTCCGCGTCTCTCCCCTCTCCCTCAAACCCACTTGCCACCGCATCCGCGTCTTTCTTTTACCTTTCCCCCCGACACCGCTCCCTTCCCCCGGCCCCCTCGCTCCCTGTTCTCCCCGGCGTCCCCCCCTCAAACACCCCTTTGCCAGTCCTTGCTCACCAGGCATGACCAGGGCACGATGACCGACTCAAATATGATCCCAGGCAGCCCCAACTCGTAGGAGGTGATACCCGGGGGGAAGGGGAAGCCAGCCAGTCCGATAAGGCCCTTCGTCACACAGTAGCACACATGACGGGGAACCTGCAGACAGACAGACAGGCAGACAGGTAGGCAGGCAGACGGACAAATGCAGCAGCAAGGCAAGGACAGAAAAAAACATTGCGGCCATCCTCCTCATCTCCCCCATCCTTCAGCCCCCGGGGCCGCCATACATGCTTGCCTTGGTAACCTCCGACAGGTGCAACCACTGTTGGTACGGCAGTACGAGCCGTGCCGCCGCCGTGAAGGCGCCGGTGGCGCATGCGATGAGCGTTACGACATTGGAGGGAGCCCAGAGGGCCTCCTCCCGCCCCCGGAACAGCAGTACGGCAAGTGACATCACATCTAGCAACATGCTGGGCAAGGGAGAGGCACGACATACCGAGAGAAAGGGAGGGAATGAATGTAAGAATGAATGAAAGAGGGAGGGCAAAACCGAGCACGAACAAACATAGACGAAGTCGTCAAAGAAAGACAGCAATTCCCGGGCGCCCTGTCCCGTGTGCTCCCGAGGGGGCAGGGGTACCCGGGAGGAAGCCGCCTCATATGAGCCGCCTCATGACTCGCTCCATAAAAATGACATTCCCTCCACCATTTCTGTTCAGCCCATGCATAATAATATAGGCAGGCGGATGGCAGAGGTTAAGGCCTGACTTCTGCTCCCGGAGTGCCCGGGTTCAAATCCGCCTGCCTATATTATTTAGCCCATGCATAATAAGGCCCCAACGGTGTTTAATTCTAGATCAGCATCGTCATGTATGCAATCGTCTCAGAAGCCGCCCACTCTGTAACAATTAATCAATCAATAATTAATCAGTAAGGCCCCACTTACATGAGCCAGATCTGCCGTGATCCGTACTCCTGCTGAAACGCCCGAAAAGACTCCCGCTCCCGCCGACAAGCCTCACTTAGCTCCGGATCACCACCAGCAGCAGCAGCAGCACTACCTGCATCACCAGCACCACCACACGGGGGCCGCTGCTGCGCTCCAGGGGGACCCGACCTGCCGCTCCCAACAGCCCGCACCAGCTGCCGCAGGGGCAGCGGCACCACCGGGAGCTGTAGCGCCAGCTGCTGCAGTAGCAAGGATCCCCTGGGGCCCGCGGCCCCGGTCACCCGGACTCCCCGGCCGCCGGGGGCAGGGGAGGTGGCGGCCGCGGCCGCCGTCATCTGCAACCGCGGCCGCCGCCGGAGCAGTTGCGTTTGTTGCGTTTGCTGCTGCGCAATGCTGGTGGCGTTGCTGCCAGGGGCTGCTGCGGTAGGAGCGGGTGCGGATGGCGGGGCCTGGAGTCCGGTGCCGATCATGCCGCCTTGCGTAGGTATGATGATGCCGTGCTTTGCAAAGTCCGCCTGCACACACAGCCACGTCACGTGCTGTCGGTATCATTCAATCCGCGGAAGTGCGCTGGGCGACTTTAATGCCACACCTACGATTTCTAATAATCCATGGCCCCGGGGCTTTAACAGGACGGACACCCCCGCATTCGTGTTGCACTTGTAACATACGGCATCCGCCACTCATGCTCCCTGTTGACAACCTCAGAGGCATGCAGCTATCGCTTCAGCTATTTTGCATCTGGCAACGGTGAAGTTGCGCACGTGACATCATCCCAACCATGAAGTCTCTCTAAACCCTTAGACACCCGACACACTTTGGAGGCCATCTGTATGGATACAGAATTTCTTTGGTTTCTTTTGATCATCATCGTCATCATCATCATCATCATCATCATCGTCATCACCATCACCATATCAGCAGCAGCCAGCATCAACACCAGCAGGTAATTACAACAGCAATCAAGGAACAAGAGAGAATGCTGACATGGAAGTCCCAGATCCCCAAGTCCCGCTTCGGCCGCGCGTATTTTTCCTCATGAAAACTGAGCTGCAAGAACGACATGTGCATCTCGCTCCCACCTTCAAAGATGCCGCAGTGGCCCGCCATCCGCACACCTCCGCGTACCACAGCAGGTGCCGGCCCAGAGCCACCAGCCGCTCGTCCAACCTGCCGGCCCCAGCCACCTGCCCCGCCATCACCGACGGTCCTGAGTTCGCGAATGGCATTAGTTGTGATTGTTGCGGTTGAGTTGGTTGGGTTGGTTGACGAGGCGGTTGGAGGGCCACGTGGTGGAGCCAAGTGCCCAGGTCCAGCAGCAGGTCATCCAGTTCCGAGGGACTGCCCTCCCAGCGCTCAGCTACGGCCTGCATACCGGAGGTACGGGTATGGGGCGAGGTGGGCCCAGACACGTAAAAATAGCGGGGGGGGGGAGGAAATGATGATATGCAAGAAAGAACTGCAGAAGAAAAAAAGAAAGGGTCAACTGCCCCCCCGACGTCTCCAAAGCACCCATGGTCGCAGCAGTACCCTTGGCGAATAAAGAACAAGTAGGGGAAGACTTTGTTTTCCATCCCCCTTTAGGGGAAGAAGAACTAAAGGGGAAGACGGGGAACACCTTCTTCCCCTAAGGGGGCCGCAGGGGATCCGGGGCAGCCAGGGGAAGCCTCAGATGGAGGACGGGACGGGAGAACCGATTGGGAGCTTCATCAGATGCTGTATCCATCCAGGAGGGCGTATCACGGGGATTTTCTGACATCCGCCGATCGGTACTTCTCTGTAGTAGTCGCGGTACCACAACAATTGGCATCGAGACAAGAGGCCCCCGGCAACCCGCCCTCCATTCTAGGCCCCAGCCAAGCTCTTCTTCCCCCCGTAAAGTGCCCGGTCATCTTTCCCCCTTTTTTTCAGCACCACTGTGACTCGGATCCCTATCCGTCCTGCCTGAGCCCACACCCAGCCCACGTGCCTGCAGCTCCATTGCCGTGTCCGGGTCCTCCACCGCCACCAGGGGCACCGCACGGGGGGCTCCGGAACCGCCGATACCACCTCCGCGTACGTCCGCCAGAAGCAGGCCGGGGGACTGGAGGCGTTTGGGCCGGGGGAAAAGGGTGTAGGGGGAAATGAGTCCAGGGTTGGGGATGCGGGGATAAGTGTGACGAAGGAAACAATTCTCGAATGACCAAGTCCAGCCAACCTACCGGAGGCCGGCAGTGACGAGGTTGGGGTGGAGATGGGGGGCGGGGGGGAATATATCCATAATATATATAGCAAACAAAGCAGGAAATTAACTACCGAGACGTCCCGAGGATCAACTGCCTTGTCTAAAGAAAATGGGGGATAGGAGAGATGTGGGATGGGGTTTTAAATGCAAAAATGGGAACCTAAACAATTGCGCCCGGGGAGAGAGCGGGGTGTTGCAGTTCTTTACCACATTCACCTGCCTGCTTATTGCAGCTAGTTCCAAGGCAATACACTTCTTACAAGGTAACATACGGAGACACACCAACAAATGCCACCACCTACATGGAAGCGTTAGGATACTACATACGAGGTTTCCTACACACCTGGGGTGGATCCAGAAGCTCCAAGCCGTACACCTCGTACCACATCCATGCAGTCGCTTCCCGCACCCGCCCAACCTCGCCGTGGCGACTGCCCGTGTCGATATCGCTGCTGGTATCTTCCCTGGAGTCCACCTCGCCCCCTGTAAGGCCGCCTCCACCGCCGCCGCCAACACCTGCAGCTCCCAGTCCTAGGCCCACAGACAGCCCAGCGCCGCTGAAAGCAGAAGACGCCATCAGCGGTACGGCGGCGATAGGGCCGGCGCTACCAACTTGCATAGGCAGCTCCGAAGCTGCCGCCGTTGAAATGGCAGGCAGCCGAACGGCACGCAGCGGCAGGTACTCCCCCCGGGCGCGCATCGTGAACTCCAGATCCGCCACAGGGAGGGCACCGGGATGAACAGGTACGGGAGGAACGGCCGCGGCCGCTGCCGCTGCCACCGCAGGAAGACCGCCTACCCTGCGTACGGTCGCTGAGAAGCGCGTGCTATTTCCGCCGCTGTTGCCCCCAGTAGCTTCACCAATGCTAACATCAGCTGTGGCCGCAGTGTTCGCCCAACCTGCTGCTGCTGCTACTGCAGCTACCGCTTCTGGTCGCACTGCTACTGCCGCTGCTGCGGTGGCAGCAGCTAGGGGAGCTGTGACAAAGACACGTGGGTTGAGGGAGACAATGCCCGGGGCCGTGGGATCTCTGGAGGCCCCCAATACGAGGGCCTGGCGACTGATGGCCCCCGCCATGCCGGGAGGCAGTGACGGCGGTGGCGGCACAGGTGCTGCTGACGGTGGCGACGGCGACTGTTGCTGCAGCTGTTGTTCGTGCTGCTGAAGTTGTTGCAGTTGCTGCAGCAGTACCTGTTGCTGCAGCTGCTGTAGTAAGCTGGTGGTGGCGATGGCTCCTCCGCCAGTACCGGTCGCGGCGAGCCCCAGCGCGGCAGGGCTGAGGGGCTCGATGCCTCCACCTCCGCCTCCGCCGCCAGCTCCGCCGCCTCCACGCCTGAATGACGACAGCGCATAACGGTGGTGCAGCGGCTTGGAGGGGAGGACGGGAGAAGAACTAGCAGGGGAGAAGAACTAGCAGGGGAGAAGAACGAAATTCATTCGACTCTTTAGACGCCTGGCTCATGGCAGGTCCTCTTCCTCACGTTTCCCCCCCGCCCCCCCGTCCACGTCCTCACCTGCCGCCACCAGCCCCAATCGGCCCCTCCTTGCTGCTCGCCTCTCCACCAGAGCCGCCACTGCTCAGCCCTGACGCAATCACATCGACAGGATCGCCGTACTCCAGATCCAGATCCAGGCCAGAAGCCAGGTCGTTTGTGGATTCAGCAGAACCATCTGTACGATACAGCCTCAGCGCACGAATCACGGCACCTAGATCCAAATCTGCGCCGGCACCACCGCTGTTATGGAGATTATTATTGTTGTTATTATTGTTATCATTATTACCACCATTGCTGCCGAAGCCGCCGTTGCCGCTGCCCTGCGAATGCCCATAGCCCTGCCCGGCGGTTACGGTGGGCCCACCACACCAGCCCGGTACAGGTGACAGACTTGTACATGCAGCGGCGGCATTGCCGCGACTGCCGCTGCCAACGGCGTCTCCAGGGGGGGCCGCCAAGAGGGATACCGGCACCGGGATCACACCCGGGGCCGGCTGCTGCTCCTGCTCCTGCTGCTGTAGCGGCTGTATGAGTCGCTGGGCAAGCAGGGCCTGCCGCTGTTGCTGCTGGCGCTGCAGCTGCGAGGGCGTGTTGGGAGCCGACCAGAAGGGCGGCTGCGCGGGCGGGCGCGCCTGCAGGGCCCCCGGGAGCGGGCCGCTGTCCCGACCACGAGCTCGCTCCAGCGGAAGCGAATCAGCACCCTCGGAGGACTCGGCACCCTCGCTGGACTTGCACTCACCCCAATCTGCGCAATCAGAAAGCGGCACCCACAAGGGCACACAGGTGAGAGGGACCAACCGAACGTGGCCAGGCAATCCGCAGTCCGGAAACAGGGGAACCCCTGCCCCTGATGCATCGAAACTCGATGTCCACCGAAACCGTCGGATCCTCGCAACACACCAGCACCCTCCCAAGCCACGGTTCGTGTGGCCTCCCTAAGACTACTTCCCCCCCTTTCTATTGGTCAGTTCTGCTTCTTGTACACTCTTTCCTTGGCAGCAGCTCCACCCGTTCAGGGTTCGTCTTTTCCCCTTCCCATTCCCCATCCTCAGACCCTCAAGAACCCCCTCCCCCTCCCCCGCCGCCGCTCACGACTTTACCAGCCAGCCAGCCGCAACCTTATCCACGTGCTTCCGCTCCCAGACTTACACACCACCTAACAGCCCCTAGCATGAGACGACCCTCACCGGCAGAGTCCAGCACCACCACCTAACAGCCCCTAGCATGAGACGACCCTCACCGGCAGAGTCCAGCACCACCACCTAACAGCCCCTAGCATGAGACGACCCTCACCGGCAGAGTCCAGCACCACCACCTAACAGCCCCTAGCATGAGACGACCGGCAGACCCCTCACCGGCAGAGTCCAGCACCAGTTCAATGCAGCCCGACCGCACATACACCCCGATAAGCTGCTGCCCCGCAGCAGATGCGACGTGCTCCAGCCGCTGCGTGAAGCCGCTCTGCAGCTGGTCCGGCTGGGCGCCCTGCACCTTGATGTGGGTCGTCATGATGCGCACACGCGGCACATAGGCAGGCCGCCGTGCCTGCACAGCAGCCACGGCCGCCGCGTTGGAAACGGTGCTATTCGGAGCCCCATTACCCAAAGACCATAATTGCTGTAGCCCGTCGTTGTGGTGGCGTTGTTGTTGGTGGCGTTGGCGGATATGATAAGGCTGCGAGGCTAGCTGGGCGTTTGTGTCCTGTTGGCTAGGTCTTATAGGGTATCGTCCGGTCTCATGAACCCCAGGAAGGATCTGGGTGTGGGAGTCTGGAGTGGGGTGAAGACGTGGTGGTGAATGCACGGGTGCAGGCTGGGAAGTGGAGACTGGGTATGGCGCGAGCTGCTGCCGGTGTTGGTGCTGGTGCGGGAAAGCGTGTTGGGGTGCCTGCGAAGACAGGGACCGCAGCAAGCGGTACGCCCGGTGGTGGTCCCGGCCCGGCGCGCCGTCGTCACTGCTGTCGTCCATACGACCGGCCGCCGCCGCCGCCGCAGCAGCAGCAGCAGCGGCAAACACGGCGGCTGGAGCCACTGCGTCGCGCGTCAAGTCGACGCTGATCCCCGCCGCGTTAGGGACAGGTCCGGAGGCCACATACGACGGCACGGACACCGCCGCAGCGGTGGCACCGCTGTTGCTGCCTGCTGCCGCGGCCTCAACCTCCCCCCCGGCGCCAGACACCGCCACTGACCGCGTCACCACGCGCATTTGCTGATCCAGTCTGGCAATATCAACCCTGGAGCTGCCGCCGCTGCGGGACCCGCTGCCACCATGGCCCGCTGCCACCATAGCACCAGAGCCGACACCCCCGCCAGCATCCTCGCTGCCCTCCTGAGAGACAATCGCCTCGCACCCCTCCATAAGGCCCATATACCCCTCCGTAAAACTCTCCAAGTCTCTCCACACGGCACCTGAGCCTAAGGAGCTGCTGATTTCAACATGAGCTGAGGGGCCCGGTACTGGAGGCAACGGCAACACACCCTCGGTCACCTCCCGCTCCGCATCTTCCGGTGCTGCCGCGACTTCCTCCAATGGACAGACGGAACCCAGGGCTGCAGTCACAGCCTTAGGCGTACTGTACCGCGCTGGTTTATTTCCGCCGCTGTCGTGGCCGACTTCGCCGCCGTGATTGGGTAGGCTATCGCTGTCCGGCCATTCCCTTGGACCGCCGCTGTCAGCAACCACATCATCAGCACTGATAGGGACGTCCTGGTAATCAGCAGCCGTGTCTGCCGCTGAAGGCAGGAGCCCCCTCACTGCTGCAGGGAGCTGCTTGCCCGCCACATGGGGCTGCTGTCCGGTGGCAGCATCATTAAGCACGGGCCCGGAAGCCCCACCAGCAGCCAGCGGCCCCACCATACTGATGCCGCCGGTTCCAATGTCGCTATGGAGGCGGCCTCGATCGTCATCACCGCCAACGCAATCCTCTTGAGCCATTCCGTCGAGCTTACCAGCTCCAGCTGCCGAAGTGGAGCTGCCGGCGGCATCAGCGCCGGCCCTGCTCACTTCTGCATTATCGGCATCACACTCCGCCGGGTCCTCCTCCTCCTGCGTGCAGGGTGGGCCCCAGGGCGTGTGCGCATGCCGCCGCGCTGCGACCATAACCACGGCTGCGACATCAGAATCTGAACGCGCCGAGCCCCGCCATCGCTCAAGCAACAGCGTAGCGATAGTGCATGCCGCACTCATGAGCAGCTGGGCCGTCAGACAAGTCCCGAGATAGTAGGATGACGCGCCGCTGTGTGCCGCGGCATTTGGGTTGCTGATAACCCAGGTCCCAGGTGACGCAGCGGCGGCAAGGGCGTCGTCGTGCGCTGGAACCGTGAAAGCGGCGCTGCTGGCGCCTGACAGGGAGGAGGGGGCTCCGCCGCTGCAGAGATCCGTGCCCTCTGCGCAAAAAGTCGCGGCGGCTGTAGCTGCAGCTGTGGTGGCTGCGAGGTGGCCGTACCTCCACCAAATGGCTGTAACCAGCATCATGTTGGTCGCGCCATAGATGCACTCTGAGACGGGGTTTACCTGCGACGGAAAGCACATAAAATATGCAAGGTCATTAGGTGCCTCATGAAAAGACCAACGCTAGAGTGGATAAAATTGACTTTCACCCTCAATCCAGGAGTACGGAAGGAGAGGAGTGATGAAATGCGATAGGGGTGGATCAGCCGCAGCCATCCCAAGGCCGGGGTTATCAGCGCATGGCAGTTCGACAGGCGAAGAAAACAATGGGGTTTTCGGATCAGAAAGCAGGGAGTGGAGTTTTCCAGCAGGTGTAGCGCTTGGCAGTGGAAGATGTGACGCGGACAACAGGGGCCTTGTGTTCCAGCATACAGCATCCGCACCTCAGCGTTGGCGGTGCCGGGCAGGTGGATGGAACTCACCGGGAAGACGAGGTTGGATAGGAAGTCCAGTGCGGGATGCGTGGTCAGGTACCACTGCCCGGCAGCAGAGGGCGCAACGCCTAGGTAACTGACCGCTAACAGGTAGCTCAGCGGTATCACACGATGCAGCTGACTCAGGAGCGAGGTTACGAAAAACTGGAACATTTTCGCAGGGAGGGTCAACCTCGCAGCCAGCCTGAGAACCACGGACATCAACTGAAAACTGGCCCAACGGTCGCTCGGTCCAAGGCGAAGCATGTCATGGTATACACCAACAATGTTGCGCACAAGATACAGAGCACGCCTTGCGCCACCCGCTTCGCATGGGTAATGCTTCAGCACTTGGGAATCCGGAGGCAGAGAATGAGGTTGTCGCGAGCAGTAGGGCTTCGCATGTTGTGAATACCTGTGTATGCCAGCAGCCCAGAATCAGCTGAGCGGGTTGCGCCAACAACACAGAATGAAGGGCCGCTTACCCTAGCGCCGCAAGGAATAAGACGATGTACTCTATGAACAGCAATTGCATCATGCGACCCCGTTTTCGCCCTGTACCGGCGACTCTGACAGGCTGACATCTTTCATCAGCAGGTTGTTCTCTCCTGTGCCGAGCTCCAGGCATTCGATGCCACATCAAAGCAACTCGAAAGGAAGGACTTCCTGCTGGATTTGACCGACAACCAGGTGCCCACGTCGCCGTCCAAGCCTACCTTCTCGCGCTGTGATTTACAGAATGTCCCCCATAAAATGCCTTAATCCAACATCACCTTCACCGGCCTCTCAGTGCGATACTTCGGGGATCAAGACTTTCCCAAGCGTACCCGTACGGGAAAGCCTTGGTTTCATATCTGAACATTACTTATGGTTTAGTCTGTTACATTCCATTAAAAAAATTGAAGTTGAAATCTATGCATTAGGCGTTATTTAATCTTTCCGATAGCCCTTCCATTAGAGCTGCCGGACTCGTTTCGCTTGAGGATAGGTAGTCCTTATCACCTGTTCGACAGCCAAGCAGTTTATACGAATCTAAGAACCTGGTACCATGCACGCCTTTGACGCCGCTTTCTGATAATGTAGTCTGTTTGCGTTCCCCAGCGTTGCGGACAGAGTACTTGCTCCAGCTTGCCTTTTCGATCCAGTCTTCATCGGTGATTAGCTCTTTCACCAGCAGACGCTGCGCCAACGGAGCGGGTTGGGGGAGGTTGCCAAATGCGTAAGGCCGGCAGCGCCCGGAAGCGTCCAGCGGCGGGCATAAGGTGGGATGAGCAAAACCTCGAGGAGAACGAAGTTATCAAGGCAAGCATCAGTAAGGTATGTGCAAGTGAGCGCACACCACGGCCCTGTTTCGTGCTTTGTGCAGCAGCAGGGTCCCTTCGTTTCCGCGCATTTGCAATTATAGGCTGGACCAACTATCATACCTACCACGGATTGAGCGCTCACAATACATCATCGATGGGCATGTTTATGCTCGGGCTCCCGTAACCGGCCTTGCCGACACGACAATACAACGGGCAAACCAAGACAGGCATACCCTACACGCCCGCACCCCGCCGACACCCAACTTGATTCCGTTTCACCACACCTCGTAACACGTCTGTACTATGTGAGACTGGAAAAAATGCTGCACTTTGTTGAACGGCACGGGGCGGTAACCCAATCTTGCCTATCCTTGCTTCACTGGCCCCCTGGTCGTGGGTACTTTACCAGCACTTTTAATTCGTTGGCCTTCTGCCATGCCCTGGCCCTGCTGTCCGGTTCTACTGTCTCACAGACGAAGATCGACGAGCCGAAGACGCCCTATCATGGGCCGCTAGGTGAACAGCACATGGAGGATGCAGACGACGGTTTGCAACCCCTAGAGCTGGACAGCCATCACCAGCAGCTACCGTACTCACTTGGAGGCAACCCTGCAGCTGTTGGAGAGAGCGAATCTGCAAGCAGCAGTGGGTTGCTTGGTGCTTTGGTTCCAAATAAGCGATACGTTCGATACAGTGCTGCTTGCTTCCAAAACCCTTCAACTAGACACGGGGGCCACAATCCCGCAGCCGAACAGCTTTAATGGTTTTAAGCTCAGCGGCTTTCTGCATGGGGCCTCCGCTCATGGGCGGAGGGCCTTTTACCGTCGGTCATTACGAACTGAAGTGAAACTTTCTAGCTATGACAAGAAGCACACCGGCATATGCGTGCGGTGTGCGCAGCGTGTACCACAGCATACCGTACATTTGCGTTCGTTGCCATGCCAATACGTCGCCTTCTTGCATGTGGATGGATGCTTGTCGTCTGCATTCAATTAGACAGGCATGTGCCATAGCCTGTCCAACCATTATTAGGAACGCGGCGTGTAGCGGCATAAGTTGCACATTAATAGTATCAGTCACACGGATATATGCATCCTGAACGAAATAACATACATACCACGTCATCGTCGGTACAATCATTTATTACCGGGCTCGGAATGAACCTGAACCCTCTTTCAGCTCGTCTGTCTGCTTGTGTCTACACATCAACCAACAGGGGCTATAACCTGTGCATCCTCAGCTGCCGTAGCGGAGGCGGCAGCAGGTCCGCAGCCTCCGCAAGCGGGAGCGGGAGGAGCTGCTGTTGCGACTGGTGCTGAAGGGGAGGATGGGCGGGACGCGTCCTGTGAAGCGGCTGGGCCCAGCGGACCGGCGGAACACAAGCACGGGCACGGACACGGGCATGGGCACCACGCGCACTTCGAGTCCTCCTCGATGCAGTCCACGGACCCCCCGGCCACGGAGCCATTAGAGAGCCGCTCGGGCTTCAGCTCCGATTCTGAACGCCGGGTGAGTGGTGGGTTGGCGGCGTCCCTCGTGTGTCATACACGCCTACAGCGGTGAAGGTGCAAAGGCAGGCAGAGACTCGAATGTACGTAAACAAGAATGCGAAGTTTTCAGTATGCAAATTATATTGTTGGTGGGGTCTTGGCGACAGTATTCCTGAACGCCGGGCGTCTGTAAAAGATGCCTGTCAGCAGCCAGCAGGGTAAGGGTCTCCCGAGGCCGGGGCAGGTACCGGGGGTCCGTCTTCTGTTCACAAGCAGGTGCTCAGAGGATAAGTTCAGAGGATGATATGTTGACGCGAGGGGGTGGAGTGGTTTCGCGAAATCGGGTGTCTATCTATATGTGTGCTGATGTCAGCCCAGGCCGTACCATGGGGTATCGAGGTCTAGGCAAGGCGTGCGAAGAGAGAGTCCCAGCGAACGGTCTGAATAATATATCTTCACAGATGTCCATACGTCCAGTGCGAAGGGAAAAACAGCGATAAGTGAAAAACAGCGATAAGTGGATGACAACGAGGAGGGATATTGGATTTCTCTTAAGATATCGTAGTGTGTAACTAACTGGATGAGTGGTGTTGTGCGGGGCCGACACCTGGCATGTCTTGTGGAGTAAGGGGATGTGCAGTTTGTCAGGATCCTCGTCCTCGTGGGGGCATTATGCCCCACAAACTGAGCGGATCAGGTTGTTGTGGCGCCGGATCATCCATCGGCCTCTTTGGTACTGTGCAAGTTCCGTTTCATTTCCGGCGCGTCTTTCCGGCTTCATTCTACTATGCAGGCTTCGCTTACCGGTGGCAGCGACGGTGATCAGAACTGCGACGAGGCACGCCGAAAGTTTGAGCAGGTAGGCACAATGCGTGCCTCGGAAGGGTTGCTAGTGCAACGTCGTTAGGGAGATATGTAAGGGTCTCAGCGGTGCCGAGCTCGTGCTGCGGGCTCCCAGGGATTATAGTTGGTAAGTAGTAATCGCCGACCCATAAGTAGTAGGTAAGTATTATCCCCGATTATAGTTGGTAAGTAATAATCGCCGACCCATAATACGTGTTCTTATGGACATGCACCAGCCACCATAGGGCGGATGTCTGTGCAAAGCATGGTGCACGCACTATGCAAACGTTGGCTTACTTTACTGTTGTTACCGTACTCGCCTTTGTCTGGTGTACGCCAGATTGCCAAGCAGTGCTTCATTAGACTGAAACAGTGTCATGGAGCATACAGCCCGATGATGCACGTGTCGCACGATTCGTGGCCATGCATGGCGCCAAAGTGTCGCCATGAACAACTTGATATATGCGGATTTCCATATCTGTGCGCAGCTATGCGCTTTATTTTACACAGGGCAGCGGCCACGTCAGGTTGGTGGCTATTTTAGGTATTAAGTGCTCTAGCAGGGTGAAGCGTGCCTTGGAAAAGTAGTAGATTATGTAGGTTGACGTGGTCCGCTTTCTTGACCGCGTGGACCGGTTTAACGTCAGTTTCAGCCGCTGGCTACCACTTTACCCGATGCTCACGTTCATTATCCTCACTGACGCCTCACTTGTGCGCTGTTCTTGTCTCTTCGATGATGGGTCTCCACCCGATTTCCTATCTTCTGTAGAGGCGTAAGGCGCATTACAACATGCGGGCTGCTCTCCGCCGCGCACGGCTGCTGCTACACGAGGATGGCGAGGGTGATTCCGTTGCTGGCGAGGGTGATTCCGATGAAGCAAAGCAGGAGGAGGGCGGGGTGGGTTCCGATTGTACAGCGACGAGCGAGGGGACCTCCGATGTCATGATGGAGGACGTGGGGAAGCAGGTCCGCAATACTACTTACAATACATGACCTAATCATGAAGCCAGTAGGCGGACAAATCGGTTCTGGAAATTGTGGTTCAAGTGTGCCCGAGCTGGGAGTATTGCTTCTGCTTCAGTCCTGGATCCAGGATCTGGGAACCGTCTGTTCCGGAACAGACGGTTCCCAGAAATGTGGAAAGAAGGCCTTTGGTAATATTACTATGACTCGGTGGATATCCACATAAACAGGGCATTCGAGCATTGCACTCGGCGTTCGTTCGTCCTCCATCCACGGGTGTCTACGTGGCACCGGTTGTCTGCCTGCAAGCTGTTCACCTATGACGGGCAAGTGATGGGTTTGCAGTACCTCTGCATGCTATATGCATACAATTGCATGCCAAAGACTTTTGTGACAAGGTCGGTTGCAGGTAAGGTAGCAGGTAGTCGATTGCAGGTGTATGGACAGCCTGCCTCGTTAAATGGAATTCACTGTGGAGCTGCTACTAAATGGACAAATAGGGTAACAGGTGCTGTGTAGTCAGGAGTCATCCCAGGAGTGGACGCCGTGGCGATGTTTGATATGTGCAAGCCGCGGCATGCACATGGCCATAGCATGTGCCCAGTTGGCAAGTACATGCAGTGCAAGGGTCTTAGCCTTATCCTGACCTTCCTGGTCGTGAGTTCTAGGCCCACCTTGGGGTGTCCTGTCTATTAGACACCTCTTCAAGGCTTGCCGGTCCCATCCTCCACGGAGTTCCTTGGATTAGGACCTGTCCATTGCGTACCTGAATCATTTGTAGTATATATCTCTGCTATCTCTGGGGTAATCATTGGTCGAATGTACCTGTCGTGGGAGGCAGAAAAGCCAATCCCTAAAGAAGACGATTTGCAATAGCAATATCGCAGGTTCCATCTTCAACCTTGATCAAGACAAAATGTTAAAGGGTGAGCGGCTTGGATATGGCAGCGCTTCAGCAAGGTTTAGTCCACCCCCAAGCCCCGTTTGTGGCCATGAGTGACGGAAACGTGCACGGTACAAACTAAAGGCCTAAAGATAGGTCGCCTTGACCTTCAAAACTAAGCACATGCAAACAGAGGGAACGGTGGACGATGCAAATGGATACATCGTTCGATCGTCTCCCTGCTGTGTATTTATGTCTTTGCATCTATTAGCACGCGACGGAGCACTTAAAATTTCACTGTGCCAGAGCGTTCGTGCCTTCCTGCTGGGTGTTGCTGGCATAAGTGACACAGCACGCGATCCCTAAGTCTAACACCCCGACCTGCAGTCCACACATCTACAGTTTGGTCCAGTCCATCTACGAGTAAGGTGAACAGGGCACATGCATGAACGAAAGTCCAAGAACGGAAACACAGAGAGGGCTCCTCGTAGTGATCGTCAAGTGGGCGCTCCACTTCGAGATCATCCTCCTCCGCCCCAGCCATCTTTTGCACCAGCCGAGAATCGAACTCGGGTCTGGTCCGTGGCAAGGACCTATGCTACCACTATACCACTGGTGCTCCATCAGACACACGTGCCATACATTCTCGAGACTCCTGTACACACCTGCAACAACACACAACAACACACGTACACAACACACAACAACACACGTACACACACAACAACAACATACACAAACACACAACAACACATACACACACAACAGCACACATGCACACAACAACACACATGCACACAACAACACACATACACACACAACAATAACAACAACAACAACACTATACACACACATTTGGACAAACTGGCATACCGGCCGCCCAGCCATCCCGGCCCCCGGATCGGCCTCTCAGCCTCCACATTAAAGCGGAGGTTGTGCCTCCCACACCAACGAAATCCAGTAACGAGTATGGTATATATCTGGTATACTGTATGTATGTGGCCGACCTAGCTGCATGGCCGTGTATATATGGGACCTATTCTATGCTTCAACACATGCTGCAACCAGTATGCGGCAGCGGACCCCATACCGCGCGCATGCAAAGTAGGGGTGCAGTGCAGTGGTGGGGCTGGATGGGCAGAAGGTCGTGTCAGGTCATGGGACCGCCAAGCCAATACACCCATGTCTACCCTTGATGCTGACCTCCCCCCGCCGCAGCTTGCTGCTCAACTACCTAGTAAAACCAAACATGCATGGTGCCTTTTCAGTTGTGGCTACGTCTGGGCTGGAAAAATGAGCAGTGGTACCTTATTACGGGCAGCGGGGGGAAACACCTATAGCACAAATCATGGAGTGCATATTGTGCGTGTATGATATGTGTGTATGCGTGTGTGTCTCTGCTGGATACGTATATTCCAATCCAACGAGTGTACGGCGCTCTCTTCAATCTTCATCATGGAGCTATGGAGGTGGCGCTAAAGCCTATGGTCGGTTACGATGGATGGAGAGCCGTACTTGCATTACTGCACTCGTTGACTGCGCTAATAACATCCTGGCACATGTAATCCTGTACGTGGCCAGCCATGCACACGCATATGACAATGGCGATACACATGCATGCAATCATACGTACATGTATGTTGTATTGCATTTCATTTGCAATCTCTCGCTCGTTCGCTGGTCTCCCTGCTGTGTATTTATGTCCTTGCGTATAATACGTGCACGTGACGGAGCACTGAGCAAAATTCACTGTGCCATAGCATTCGTACCTTCCCGCCTTGTGATATTGGCATACAGAAAGTTGCAAGGATGGGGGTCTGGCACTTAGTAGAGATCTGTTAGTCGAGGTGTACACATGGTTTATGTACTAAAATGCGCACGTTGCACTAGTGGGAACTTCTTATCCCTCTGCCATTGGGTGCAAGGAGGAGAAATGTGAAGGCAGAATCAACCGCCTTGGACTTGCCGTTTGTATGGCACATTACATTGTAGGTGGACGATGCTGTACAGCACATGTATGTTAACAACGTGGTTTATTCCTAGACATGACAAATCTGCTTTATTGGCCAGTAGCCTCCCACTCTATAGCAACAACAACAAAATATAGCAACGATAGTAGTAGGTAAAGGCTCATTTTGTTCAACGCAACTCATTTTGAAAAGCTCCACCATGATAGCTCGGTGCAACACATATAGCTATATGGCAGGCGGCTGGCAAAGGTTAAGGCCTGACTTCTGCTCCCAGTCGACCCAGGTTCAAATCCGCCTGCCGGCTCCTCGGGTGTTTGAGGAGTGATGAAATGGGAGGTGGCCCCCCATCATATGGACGGTGTAGAACGTGATAATATCAACTTGCGAGCTGACCAGGAACTAAGTTGATGCGCCGTTGATCCGCTAGAATTGGTTGGATGCTGGTGGTGAGTTGCCGAACCCAACGAATACATTCTGAAGTCGGATGGGGTGACGGATTAAGGTGCCCCTCTAGCAGGGGAGAGCAGGGACTGCCCCGGGAAAGGGGGCCGCTGGCGAAGTTAACCACCCTGTAACAACATACATATAGCTAATTGTATGTATACATCTAGATGTACTACATAGATCTCTGTAACACATACTCACACGCACTCCTCTGTAGCTTTCCTTCGTTCCTTCTCAGTCCCACATTTGTGTGTTGTACAATCTAGATACGTTTTACGATACGTGCAATACGAAATGTGTTGCAGGACGATGCATGCACCTCCGCCTGCTTCCTGCTTATATATCGCGATAGGAAACTTCAGGTAGTTAGAGGCGGCGCAAATTTACCATCTTCCTTTAATGTGGCAGTTGCAGTAGTTATAGTTGCCAGGCATGGACGTATGCGGGGTCAGGCAGGCCAAAGAACGTGTTGCGTGCCTTGCTCTGTGCCGTGCCTACCCCACATTTCTTCATCAATCATGAATCCCCTCCATATAAGTAGCTATATAGCATATATAGATCGATATTCCTTATAATTATAAGGCGAAATCAATGGATTCAATACCATCACAGCTCTCCCCCACGCCTATACTTGCCGAAAGACCTGCCGCGCCACTTGCGTGCAGCAGGAAAATCCTTATACCTCTCCTAATCCTTATACATATGCATGTACATGTATGCTCTCCTCCTGAATGTCAGCCAAAACAATATTTGCAGCTGCATGCATAACCACATTTAAATGTGCACGCACGCGCAATGCGTATGTATGTATGTATGTATATATGTATGTATGTATGTATGTATGTATGTATGTATGACGTTGATTACACTGTGGGCTGAAAAGCCGGGGGCCCAGGGCCGAAGCACAGCGCGGGGGGCGGGTGCATACGGCTGGTTAGTCTCATGCACTCCGCCCCCGGGTCAGGCCGCACGGGAAACGACGGCCGGCACGCAACAGCGCTTGTTTGGCGCTCCAACTAGACGGGATCTATGCCCGTTGGTCTCCTAACATAAACGAAGTCGCAACTGGGGGGCTCTTCCTGCCGACCGAACGAACCGAGCATCTCAGAGAGCTCGCTACCAGGACTTGGGCGACCGGGAGCCCGACGAGTCTTCCCGGGCTGGGGAGGTCACCAAGCTCAAAAATCCTCACGCAAAAAATGTATGTATGTATGTATGTATGTATGTATGTATGTATGTATGTATGTATGTATGTATGACGTTGATTACACTGTGGGCTGAAAAGCCGGGGGCCCAGGGCCGAAGCACAGCGCGGGGGGCGGGTGCATACGGCTGGTTAGTCTCATGCACTCCGCCCCCGGGTCAGGCCGCACGGGAAACGACGGCCGGCACGCAACAGCGCTTGTTTGGCGCTCCAACTAGACGGGATCTATG